TATTTATTCATTAATAGGTGATTGAAAGTACTGCTAAAGGTTCATTGCCACCTAGACCAAATCGATATTCTACATTAGGCCAAAAACAATCCGCATCTGTTTCGATATCTGTTTTGGTAAGAACTTTACAAATATTTGATGCAGATTTAATAAGTATTTTCATTAGTTAATTAGATGTTTAATTTATATAGAATTTAATAGACTTAGCTGGTTCTGAAAAGGCAGCTAGTTCAGCCGATCGTCGAAAAGAAGGTGCTTTTATTAATAAAAGGTTTGCACTTGCAGATAAATTTTTGTATTTTTTACTATTTCCGAAAAATTAACTATATCTTAATTAAGTCTTTTGACACTTGGTACGGTGATCTCTAAGTTGACGGACAGCTCTGGGTAAACATTCATCGAATTGGAGAAATGTATTGGATTTTTCATAGACTTTTTTTTAATATGTGTTTTTTGGTAGTGGTCATATCCCATTTCGTGATTCAAAATTGACTCGAATTCTTCAGAATTCTCTCAGTGGGAATGCTCGGGTTGCTGTAATTTGTACTATATCTCCCTCTGCGATAAATCACGAAGAGTCACAGAACACCTTAAAATTTGCGGCTAGAATAAAAAAAGTGGTTACTAGAGCACAGACAAACACGGTATGTTGACCTGACATCAAACTGAATTCTTTTTCAAAATTTTTTATTAACTTATTTATTGCATAAACTTAGGTAATGGATGATAAAGCTCTATTGCAAAAATATCGTATGGAAATTGAAGAGCTCAAAGCTAAACTTGAAAGAACTAATGGAGCAAACCATGAAGAGAAGGAGTCAGAGTTATCTCAAATGTTGCAACAAGAAAAAGCTAAAGTACGTACATCAAATTTTGATATACATCTTTTATTATTGATAAAGATATTATTTTATCAATTCATACATTTTTACAGCATGAAGAAGAAATGATGGAAGCACAATTGGTTCGAACAGCTTTGAAAGAAAGAATCGATCATCTTACCAAGTTAATCTTGACAAATTCGTCTTTCTCGGGCAGTGCACAACAACCAACTGCGACACGTAAACCGGTAATCGATCACGCTAGTAGTGTTGGACAGGTTAGTCAAGACTATTTAACTTATTCATTATATTTATCTCTTTTAGCAGTTTATGCGTTTTATTCTACATTTGTTATGCCAATTTCACAATATATGGGATATAGGTTAGCGAATTTGATCAGCTCGAAAGTCAACTTGAAGCAAAGAATGTGACAATCAACCTACTTAAATCTGATGTTGAGAGCAAGAATCAGATGATTGAACAATTAAAAACTGCAAATGTAAAGGCAGAACAATCAATAAAAGGATTAAATAATAGATTAAAAGCAAAAGATGAAGAATTGCAAAACCTTCATAATGAAAACCGTAAGTTAAAAACTGTTATTGAAGAACAAATAGGGAAGATTAGAATATATGAAGACGATGGTAAAGTCAATGGCCACTCGCGTAGTGGAAGCCGAGAATATAGTGAATTGAGCAAGACTATACAAAGGCAACGTAACATTATCAACGAGCTAGAGGAGGAAATCAAAGCGAACAAGTTGATTATTGCCAATCAAAAAGAAATGCTTCATCGGGCAGAGCTTTCGCAGCTACAAAATAATGCGTCGATTAATCGTGTTAACGAACGTCGGATGGAAAGTGATGAATATTCAACTCTAACTCGGGAGAATACGCGGGGTAATGGTTCGGGTAATGGAAAGAGTCTTGTGTTGAAAAACCATTGTTTAATTACCGATGAAGCGATTCTTATTTTCTTGTTGCTTGCATTTTCGATTTTTAAAATAGTCGATTGAAGCTGACCCTCAGTTTGTACATTTTCTCTTTTGCTATTAAGCCTATAGGTTAGTGCATAACATTATCATGCCTATCAGTGCTAGTGAAGGATACATAATACTTGCATTTGTTCAATTGTACAAAGATTCAATAACTGATAATAAAATCATGTCATCTAATTGCATTTAAAAAAAATTCTACTTTCTCCATTATAGAATTTGAAAGTCTGCTGCCAAGTAATACTACCTCGGGCAATTTTGAAACTTTAACAATATCTTACTTATAAGATATAAATTT